AAATCCTATTCTCTGATTTACCCTATTCTCACCACAAGAACGGAGTGAATGGCGTTTTAAATACACCATTCCAGTTGACCAGGTAATCGTTCCACAACTTTTTCTGGCTTTTATTTTTGTACCATGCAACGTTCGGTTGGTTAACATGGATTGCCACTTTGCGATATTCGTGGGATTGGGTTTCACATTGCAGTGGATTTCTTTTAACCGAACTAACTTGATGCGATAGAACGCGAAGGCATTTCGTAGAGTATTTGAAGTGCTATGTGTACACTAGGCTTCTTTACCCTCATTTTCTATTTCGTCGTGCAAACGGGTGACCCAATTGTGTAGATTAAAGAGGGAAAGAGTCTGATAGTGTCGTTACCTCTTTTCTAGTTGAGTACTCGAAATCTAGGTTGAGTATTAGAGCGTAAAATAGATTTGAAGACCAGCAACTCCAGAAGTAGGGATGCAAACTTTGATCGGATGATCAGCAAATTGTATGTGAGGTTCATTGTAGAATGAGACTAAAATTGGAATCCTATCAGTTTTAGTTCACATAAGAGCCTTGGTCCATTCATTCGTTTCTTCACATAAAAATCATATTAAGGATTTGTTATCTTCGTTTGATTGCATGATATTGGATACGGCTGCTATATTTTCAGAAACGAAGTAGTGTCGTTGTTTCAAAGTCTTGGTCGTTACTCGTCAAGTATCAAGGAAGTAGGAGAATTCCGGAAGGAGCTTGTACCAGGGCATAGAGGTTTTGATGAGTTATGACCATAATCACTTTAGTGTTTTTGAGTGCCTAATCGTGGTGTCTATCCGCTCATACTTTGTAATTATACTTTCTACCTGCGGTTCCATTGTATTTGCACGATTGATTCCTCTAGATAGGGTATAGATGTATTTGCTTTTGAACCCTGCCTTGTGCCTTTGCTTTAGAAAATTTCTTAATCATATAGGCACGGCATTAATAAGCGCTCGTTGCAGAGTTGTATATTACTTTTGTCTGTATGGGTTTTTTCCTCTTTCTTCAGTCTCGTTTGAATCTTTATCGCTATGATTTCTATTC